TGATTGATCTGTTGAATGATCGGGTCAATGAATTACAACTGTTAACAATTCAGACGCTTCTGCATCACTGGACCTTTAATGTTGTGGGTAATCACAGTTGGGTAGTAACTAGTTACATTTACTCAATTACATTTACTTGAGTAACTTTTTTGGAGAAATGTACTTGTAGGAGTATTTTTACTATGGCGTACTTTTTACTTTTACTTGAGTAATTTAATTATGAAGCATTTCTTCTCTTACTTCAGTAAAATTTCTGGATTTTCTACCCACTGACTGAAAAATGAATATGATTTAATCAAAAATTCACCACACACACCTGCAGTTTCTGTTAAAGCTTCAGAAGTTTTTTTATATATAAAAAAAGAAGAAAAAACTGATTTGGAAATATTTTATTTTGTCTGATTCTGTTATTTTGCTACAATATAAATTATTGTCATTTTGGTCCTTAAAATATCAGAATTTCCACTTCATACTTTGATTTGTGTAATGATGTAATTTTTAACTATTAAATGATTGAAATTTGAATCAGTTACTCAGACCTTGAGTCGACTTTTTACCAAATACTTTTTTACTCTAAGGTAATTTCTTGGCTTCTACTTTTTACTGTACTTGAGTAAAATTATGTTGAAGTAGTGATACTCTTACTGGAATATAATTTTTCCTCAGCTGAGCATTTTAAGATGTTCTCCAGAGTTTTATCCTGTTTTGCCAGGTTTTTTCTGCAGCTCAAAGCTTATAGTAATACAGTTTAAAAATGGTCTATTAAAGTAAAATAAAACTACATGGCTTGTAATTTATATAAATTATTTTATTGTACTTTACATGTAAAAATTACAAAGCTGGAAAAAAAGCTAAAATACAAGCAATCTTCTGAATGTTAATTAAAACTTGAACCCAAAGACAATAAAAACATGTTAGAAGAAATTATAAGCCAGTGTACAAAAAAGTTTTTTTTCTGAGCATGTTTGCCCAAAGCAGCAACAAAAACAATTCACTTCAAATCCAGTTTAAAAATGATCCTATATCTGTCAAACTGAGAAGAAACACAACAAAATAGTAATTAAACTCCACAGTAACAGGATAGCAAATACAATTTGATTTGACTTACAGGTTAAATCAAATAATTTGATCAGAGAAAGTACAGAACTCTGCAGTTTTACATTTTCACAGCTGGAATAACACACGCTGTAGTCAGGAGAGGCCAAATCTACACCATATAATCTCTTGTACTTCATATGGTTGTTCCAGAAAGCAGGTTTTTCTAAACTCTGAATTTGGGGAAACTCTTTTCTGATCCACACTGGTTGATATTCAAGTTACTGTTACTGCAACAGCTTTACTTTAAATCAAATTCAGTCATTCTCAAAATCTACCTGACAACTTAAGGTTTAGATCAGGGGCGTCCAAACTTTTTGCCATGTGGGACAAAATTTCAAACTCAAAAATAATCATGGGCCAAAGAAAACGCAGCCTAAAATCAAGCAAATGAAATAGCTGGATATTTATTGTAGATTTTTACAATGGTGTATTAGAGCCGGTGTATTAGGGCCGTCCAAAGTTTAGACAGCCCTGGTTTAGATACTCAAAATTGACTGAATTTAAGGAGATTAGCTGCTAGAATTGAAAACCAAATCAGAATTAACCTGTATCATGGAGAGATTGGATTTGTTGAACCATGTTTCTGGAATACTGGCCTACTACACCAAGCGTTAATACTTAAAGTTAGACTAAAAACATATTTAAGGTGACAGGTGATATATTGATTGAATAATGTCGCCAACTTGTTTCTCCGATCTACTCTGTGATGCTCTGTGGGTTAACTCTAACCCTCTGAATGCTTCGCACAGTCACTGCATGAGCTGTTCCACGAGGAAGACGATCTTCAAAAAACTAAATGAAGAAATTTAAAGTGTTAATACATTATGTGTTAGATTTGATTAAACGATTTGTAGGTCATTCTAGCTTACATACCTGTTTAATGAGCTCTATTACTGTTCCATTGCTGATCTCCCCATAAGATCTTAACTTCATGTTTAGATGCATTAGAAACTCCAAGCCTGTAGGGATTTAAAAGGAGTCAATTAGTTGTTAGTCAGTAAATTAATTTACTGTTAGAAATTTACTTTTATATCATTTTTAAAAGATTTTTTTTTCATATATTACTACAGCAATGAGTTAAGTTATTTTGGAATAACGTACCGGGAGGGGTTGAACTTTCCATGGACGGAGGAGTTGGAGTTGTGCTTGGAGTTGTGCTTGGAGTTGTGGTTGGAGTTGTGGTTGGAGTTGTGGTTGGAGTTGTGCTTGGAGTAGTGGTTGGAGTAGTAGTTGGTGTAGTAGTTGGAGTTGTTGAGGTTGTTGTCGGAGTTGATGTTGGGACAGGAGTTGTCGTTGTTGGGGCAGCAGTTGGAAGCCCTGGATCTGATGTCGTTTGGGCTGATGGTGTTGTCGTTGTTGGGGCAGCAGTTGGAAGCCCTGGATCTGATGTCGTTTGGGCTGATGGTGTTGTCG